ATTTAGTTCTTCGCTTTTTAAAAAAATTCTTATTGGACAGAGCCTTCATAACATCAACATTAAAATTGTCCTTTTATAATGTGAAAGGTGTCGCACGGGTTGTTACGTCAGATCCATGCAATAATATAGTTATTATATGGGATTGCATAAAATAACTCCCGTTTCACATGGCCAAATTTAGTTATTTCTACAACCCATACAATAACTATAACATGACAAAGTGTTAAGAAATACGGTAAATCAACTAGTGATCTGCGAAGAACAGCAGAAACCGTTAATGTTACACATATATTAAAACCGGTGAGGGATTATATCCATCACAATTGAATCCAATATAAATAATTTAATTTGTGATTGATCACAGGAGAGAGGGGTTCACTCTGGATCGGGCACTGTCTCTGCTGTTTTTTATAAATAATGATGATGGTACTTTTATGAAACAAATATGCATGCTTATGAAGAAATTGTATAGCGATAGAGACCTCGAAAGATAATTCTGAATGTTACACAAAATCATGAGAAAATTATGGGTGGCGCTAATTAAATCATTTTAAGGTTAACCCGATTTAATAAGAATTCTACTTAGATTATTCTGAGTACGTAATTGTTTTTCAATTAATACGTAGTAGATACGCAGTTAATAAAATTAACTGCTTAGTGTTAGTACTTATACAAATTCAGAGTGAGACGTCATCCGGTTCCGATCGAGTAACTAAATACGTACGTACGGACATAATTTTTTGCAATGGTTACTGAACTGATAATTGCGTAGTCTGGTAGGGACATAAAACCATTTTACTAGTTTATTTACAAATTTGGATTTGGATCAATTTCATCATGTGTTGCTGTAACGTCAGAAATAATGTCAAAAATATTATTACAAGAATGCGAAAGAATCTTTTCTTTAATATCAATAATCGAGGTTGTTTCATGTTCCCAATCTTCAACAGTTGGTCGTGGATATTTCGTGAATGTTTCAACTTCTTCTTTAATATCACTATATATATGTGTGTGAATAAACATAAATAAATATTGATTCTTCTATTGATTCTATACATGTATTCGATCAGGTAAAATAGTGAACTTACTTGCAAAAACCATCCAAGTCCAAATCATTATAATCATATCCAAACGGGTTCTCAATTTCTTCACCAATTGCTTCAATACCAAATAAAATAATAGATGCAATTAACACTATAGGAAGAGTAGTATAATGAAGTGTTGAAACCAATTGAAACGATAAGGAAATACAATAAAGCCAAACTGTTTGTGATATATGAACTGCATATGCCAAGGGAATTGGTGTTCTTAAAATTCTTTCGCAGCCAGATAAAGAATCGACAAGAATATTCAAGTCATATAATAAAAGTTTAGCCGCTGAAGCACCAACAATCTTATTCCTAACTTGTTTACAAATGTAAGAAGTGATACAAATAGAAATTGCTAAAGGTAAATTGTAATTTTGAATGTGTTCTTGATTTTTAGGCTTAAATAACTTGCGTTTTATCCACTTAAAAAGTTTGATGTCTATTCTTGGATTTTTCTTTTTTTCGATAACTTTATCTTCTTGTTCAATTAATTGTTCAAAAGCCGGGATAGCAGTTACGATATTTGAAATATAAGGTTTAAGATCTTCATGTTCAATTCCTTCTTCACGAAGATAATACTTCATGGAAATCGCAAAACCTACAAGAAGTTTGATTGCTGCTTCTTTTTCCAGTGAATCTAGGATGCTTGGAGGGTCGACATTTACCCAGATATGACGCATTAAACCTCTAATGGCAACTGTCATTTTCGTCCAAAGACGTTTGCCCTCATAATATCTAATGTGCATAAGTTGATTATACTTTCAGATCATAGCCGTCAATAATTGTATTTAAAAAAAAAAAAAAAAGATTATACTTGCCTATCATAAGCAGTGTTCGTTCTATACGTTAATAACAAACCAACTACAATCGCGAACATGGGTGTTAAAGATGTATGAATGCTAATGTCTATATGATAATGTTCATAAAGAAAACATGCGACTCCAGCAATAATAGTTGCTATACATGATGAAGGAAGAACATTTAAAATAATACTTCCATCCCATTTAAAGAGATATAATTTATGTTTCTCACGTGGTTCATTTCTAAAAAATTTTGGCATTTTCTTGTTTATAGATAGCCTTTAAAAAAAAAAATAAAAAATTCGATCAAAAAATTTATAAAGCGATCGTAGTTACAATTAAAGAATTTTAATCATAACGATAAAAAAACTGTCTACAAGAATGCAATATCTTATTATTAATTATCGTTATATATTTCTTTAATTTCAAAAAAATTACATAATTATTGCAGTCTCATCGTTATGTTACGCCTTTTTACCAAAAGTTATTTTTTTAAAAAAAAAACATGCGGCTAACCGTTTCTAAATCCGATTAGCATTTTAAAATTTATAACTCATGACTTCTAGTACGTAATAGAACTTGGTTGGTCATAAGTTTTAACATCTTTATTCAGCATACATATATGTATAGGAAGATACATTAGAATATGAAATTGAAATTGCCTCTGTTTTTAATTCTATTAGAAATTGAAATTGCCTCTTTTTTTGAAATTGAAATTACCTCTTTAATCGTATTATATATAGATTGAAATTACCTCTTTTAATCGTATTATAGATTGAAATTACCTTTTAACTTTATTATACATACAGTACGTACGTATAATGTATACCGATTGACTTATAGATTGGTATTGTGTATTGTAGGAGTTGCAGAATCGTGCATTGACTAACTAGGATTCAATAATAGAAAATTATCATTATCATTTATCGCCATTATGATGCATCTTTACTCTATAATTAAATCAAACAATCGGGTTAGAGGTTAAGTTAGGATTCGGTGGGGCAATAGTTAAAAGACCTCCTAACTAGAGCTGCAGACATTAGAATATCAATGAACATTTACTATGACGTTTGACGTGACGTATGTGACGTGACGTTTAATATGATTATATATAAATTTTATATGACGTGAAGAGTGACGTACTACCTTGGACCTTCTAAATGTCTGCAGCTCTACTCCTAACCCAAACTTTCGCAATGATTTTTTTTTTTTTTTGTTAGATAAAAAAGCTGTTTCGGGGATAAATTCCGAATTAGAAGCGTTTTTTTTTTATTCATATTACACCTGCATCTGATCAGTCGATCAGGAGTAGCGAAGCGATGAATGAACATTAAAACAAAAAAATTTATTCTATTTTATCATAAAATGAATCTATGGTGTATGTGTTATGCGTCGATGGTTGATTCCGTCATTCAGTGATTGACGTATGTTATTTATCGGTCCATTAATAACCCGGGTTATTGATGGAATGGTTATCGGACTTATTAAATTAATAATGCAACGAATGTTTAACTATGCATCAGTAAAAAAAATTAATAATCAGTATCAGTAAAAATTAAATAAAATAATAATTAAAATTTGTTAAACGATGTTTTATTTTTTTTTTTTATTGAAATTATGGAGCTGCAATCATATAGTTTTCTATCTCATGAATCTTTTGATAGAATATTAGAAAAACATACTAGCCAAAAAAAAATTAATCGAAGCTTAATGGACATTAGTCGCTATAATGAATGTTTAAATGTATTAAAAAATCCAAGCCTACAGCATGATTCGAAACTTAAATACTGGATTACTAATACTTTTAAGATACTTCGTATTGGTATGACAGAAGAGCTTCATTTACTTAAATGGAATGAAAATAATTTGGGAACACAAGTTTGTCTAATTGAGAATTTTTATGAAGCAATCTGTGCTGCGCATCAGGCAACAGAACATGGAGGTCAAGAAAAAACCTGAAAAAAAGTATCTATTTTTATTTAATTTGAATTTAAGCAATTATAAAAATTGTATTTATATATTTTTAAGATCCGGGTTAGATATTGCTATATTCCACAACAAATAGTTGAAGATGCAATTCGTGAATGTAAAGTATGTGTTACTCGACAAGCAACTAAAAGGGTTCCACCAATTCGACCAATTGTTGCTAAAGGTTTTTTGAATTATGTTCAGGTACATATATATATATATATATTTTTTTTTTTTTTTTTGAATTTGCTGTATATATGATAAAATTAGTTACAGATTTGTATCAAGATGATATTAATTTGAACTATTTATTGTATCTTGTATAACCACCTAAGTGTAGCAAAACACCTCTTAATTTTCTATTAATAAACTAATTTAAGACTAGCTACCATTAGTTATAGAGAGGGAAAGAGGAAGCCTAACTTCAGGTATATATATAAATCTTAATATATAATGTTAATAATAATTTAGCTATTAAATAATAATAAATAAATCTTATATTATTTATAGCTTGATACAATTGATATGACGGCAATATCTGATGGAAAATTTAAATACATATTCCATATAAGAGATCATTTTACCCATTTTTCATATGCAGAACCAGCAGAATCTAAATCGGCTGAAGAAGCTTCTATAATATTATTTAATTTTTGTTTAATGTATGGTCCACCTGCAATTCTTCATACAGATAATGGAGGCGAATTTATTGGAAGTATATTTAAGGAAACAATAAGCCTTTGGCCAAACATTAAATTAGTTCATAGTAGGCCTAGAAATCCTCAATGTCAAGGCCTTGTTGAGAAGGGAAACGATATTCTTCAAACGAAGTTGGGATGTTGGATGGAAGAAACATCTAGAGATAATTGGAGTGTTGACTTGAAATTTATAATTTGTAAGCATTTTTTAATATCAATATTTAATTTATAATAAAATTTATTATTATTATTAGCATTAATTTTTTAATATATAGTTTGCATATTTTTTTTTAATAAATTGACATACAAAATCTAAAAATTTATTATAAATAGGGGGTTTTAAAATTAATATTAAAGAATTTTATTTTATTTTTCATTTATAATTTATTTAGTAAAAATATTATTAAAAATTCTACTTATTTTTGAAATGCACTATTTATTTATTAATTTTAAAACTCCTAATTAACTAATTTATTATTAATATTATTTTTTTATTTTAATAATTTACTATAGGGGCGATGAACAATCAATACTGTTCTGCGCATAAAACTATACCTTACAATCTAGTATTTGGACAATTACCTCACAGTGAAACTAGATTAGCTGATATTTTAATAAATAACAACTATGAACAGGAAGAATTATTTAATAATGATAATGAGTCATATGATTATTTGTCTATTTTAGATGATTACTATAATCAGGATAAGTTATATAATCAAACTGAATCATTATTATATAATCGTAATCCAAATAATTCTTTTGCAGATGACTTCGAATCTAAACTTAATTTAGAAGATTCTATTATATCTAATAATAATGATTATGATTTAAATGATTGGAATAATAATGATTTAATAGATTCACTTGATAATATAATTAATTCACAAGAAACTATTATATTTAGTAGTGATTCAGAAAGTCAATCTTATCATCATACAGCCCAAGAAAAAGAAAATGGCGAGAATCATCTATAGAACCACAACAAACACTTCAAATTCAACTTGTCCTACATTTGAACAACATAGTAAAATCCGTCAAGCTGCTATTTCAAATGTTAAAAAAAATCAGGATATTATTAGAAATACAATGGAAATAAAATATAGAACCAAACGAAATCGGGTATATGAACCTAGTGAATTTGTAAAAATTCATGTTCCTAACATTGATAAAACAAAAATGAATAGACGATCATTACCCTGCAAAATTATTCAAAAAAAACCTAATCAAAATTCTTATCAAGTTGCTTGCAAGTTTGGAATACTTGACAACTGGTATCCCGCAAGTGAACTTGAACTATTAGGTACACCTGACTATCCTGATCTTGATATTGTTCCATTAAATAAAACACTTTCATTAAGACAAACAAGTATCAAACAAA